CCGGTGCAAGCGAATGTCCATATGGCGATTCGTAAGGTCTCCTTACCTTCCTTGCCTCATACCCTCTGGCCACTGAGATCTTTTCCCATCATTGCTCTTCACTCTCCCGCTCTAGCCACACTGCCCTCGTTGCTTTTTCTCAAACACACCATGCACTTCCACCTCAGAGCTGCTGCGTTCTTTCCCGTTCCTCACCGCCTTCAAGCCCTTGCTTCATGTTTGGTTTCAAAGCGAGGCCTACCTTGAAAACTCCCATTTAATACTGCAGCCAGCTGCTCAGCCTACCCCTCCACCGCAACCTGGTTCTCTTACTTTGTTCTTTTTTTTTCAAGATGACGTATTACCTTCTAATTATTAAGCAATTTATTTATTTAAAAACTTTATCGTTAATCTGTCTCTCCTGACTAGAAGGTAAACTCCAAAACGGCAGGAATCGTTACCAATTTTATGCCTAGAACATGCCTAGAACAATGCCTAGAACAATGCCTGGCACATCTCAGGTGTTCAGTTGATGATAGAATTAATTAATAGACCTGTCTTAAGAGAATTAAATGAGCTACCTGTAAGTTCTTGAAGGCTGGTACATTTGGGGGTCATATTTTAGCACAGATCTAGAGTTAAATATTTGCTAAGTTTCTCTTACATGCCTGCAAATGTGATGCAGAGAATTCTGTAGACTTTAAGGGAATCGCTTCATTCATTCATTCATTCATACATTCAATAAATATATATTGAGCCCTTATTAAGTAGCAGACACTGTTTTAAACTCAGGATAAAAGATAAATAATAACAAATAAATGCTTCAGGTACTGGGCCTGGCGGTGCTAGGTCTTTTGATTTTTTTTTTTTAAGAGAAGCTGAAATCTGAATTTTTGTATAACTCTCCCAATTTCTAAATGTTGATAACTAACTTTAAAAAAAATTTTACCGTAAGTGAAATTAAACTTTTATGACAACCAAATGTTGCCTGTGGGGCTGTATCTTATAATATCTTCTGTGTTTGTGGGATTATGTGGTACTGATTCTGAAGAAGTCTGAAGCTTCTAGATGGATAAGTGGTAGATCACAGGCTGGGCAGGATTAAGTGAGAGGAAAGGAGGATATTTTTGCTTTTCTCTGTACCTGGGCCAAAGATGTGGAGGCAGGACAGGCAGAGTGAGGCAGGTGGGGTGATGGAGGATGTGTATTTCATTATCAGTACTGGCAATAGTCTCTCCCCTGGGCCACCATGAATCATTCTTTCTAGGTTAAACTTATTGTATTTGTCAGCATACTGCTCCAGCAGCTTAAACAAAGCCCAAGTATTAGACAAGATAGAAATTTGTCTCTGTCAATGGTTTAAGTGTAAGCAAATTAGACCACTCCTCCTCTCTTCTTACTTTGCCATGGATCTTCCTTTTGACCAAAGATGGCTCTCACCTGTGTGCAGGGTTCCAGCTGGCAGGAAGGGCAGAGGTGGATGGAGAAGGGCCTGTCTCTTCTTTTAAAGGGCAGGATCCAGACTTTGATCACAGTACTTCCATTGACATCCCATTGGCTAGAGCTTAGTAACAGGGCTACACCTAACTCCAGGAAAGACTGGAAAATGTAGGTTTTACCTGGGTGGCTTTGTATCAGCTAAAAATTATATTTTTATATTAGAAAAAGAGAATGGATATTGCAGAGTATATAACAAGAAATCTGCTGCATTTGCTCTCGTGGGTCTCAGGTTGTATGAGGTAGGGTACTTCTTACTGTACCCTTAGTTTTCTAATTATTTTAGCAGACCCTAGTAGCTCAAATGGAAGGTGATACTTGACATTTATTTCTTCCTCTTATAGATTCTTCTGGACCATTGTATTGCTGGTTAGATCAAAGTAGCATGAGTTTTTGTTTTGCTTTGTGTGTTTGTATAGTTGATCTGGAGCGGCAGTTTTCAAATATTTTGGTCTTGGGACTCCTTTGCATTCTTAAAAATTACTGAGGATACTGAAAAGCTTTGTTTCTGTGGGTTATATCTATTTATATTCACCATTTAAAAAATAAAAACAGATATTCATAAGAATTTCCAAGTAAGATTTCATAAACTTGAACTCTCTGGAAATCTCCCTTATACAATTATGAGAGATGATGGTAAAAAGTAAATAATGTTGTAGTAGTATTATGAAAATAATATTGACCTCACACACCCCTTAAAAGGATCTTTGGGATCCTATACCACATGTTGACAGCCACTGATACAGAGACCATAACCTGTTTATGTTAACTCTGGTAATTATTTATATTGTAACTGATAAGTGCTAGGGATTAAAAAATAAAGAAATATAAGGCAGGACCATTGGCATAGAGTAGTTAATGGTCAAAAAATATAAGTTGACCAAACAATCTATACACTTCTTTCATCTTAGTTTTGAGGGAATTTGGTTTTTATTTCTGAATTGTAAATTTATACGTGGGAGTTAATAGTGATTGGCAATCTATAGCAATTTAATAAATTCTGATGTTTAAGATATATTTAATTAAATATTTCATACATTTAGAAGCATATTACAGAGAAGTTTGTTTGATTTTTGTGCACACTTACTCCTATTTTGGCCACCCAGCCCTGAATCCACCTGTTCTCACTTGACACATCCCCCCACCTTCTATGGAAGTCTAAAGTGCTCACTATTTGCATTTTCAGCCACTGTTGCTGCCAGGCTGTAGGCATGAGACCTAGGCTCTGCCAATCAGACACCTCCATCTCATAACTCCAAAATAGAAACTAGTGACATGAAGAAATGTGAGGCAGCTCTACATGGTTTTCAGTGCAGCAGCAGGTGTTGGTGGTGGAAGCTGGAGGCTCCCCTCCCCTTCAGACTAGTGTTGCTGTGTGATTTAGGGTGATGTTCCTTGATATATAGTCTCCGAGTCCCATTTCTCTGGCTGCCCTGAAAATTCGTGATCTTTATCCTATGAATTCAGGAGTCAGTGCCTTTGCTTGCAACTAAGAATCCTTCTTGATACATTCACAAATGCAGTGTTTCTCAAAGCAGTGTTTGGAGACCTGAGGTATCAAAATCACCTGAGCCACTTCCTAACACTAGGTGCCTGTTGGTGGGTTTAAAACTCATGGTTTCTGAATCCTTGTGGAGGAGAGTTTCAGGAATCTGCATTTTAAACAAGTCCTAGGCTTATATAATATTTAGGTAAAATGAAATTTAAGAACTGCTGTTCTAATGTTTCCAACTTTTTAAATGATTTGTTCTGTGTTTAAAGAACTGAGTAGCTCCAAACATTTTTGCAAGACCCTAATCAATGACTGGTATATCCTTGTTCCTTTCTCTTCCCACCCAGCTCCAAATTCCCTATAAGCCTCTTTATTCTATCTCTTTTAACTCTTGTAATGAATTCCCTAAATGGAATTACCTACATTCAATGGTGCCAGAATTAATTTAAGTTTAAAACTACACTGTGACTGTAGCTCTCTCCAGGTCATTTTTTTTCTTGTGCATTTCTGTAACCTACAAGCTGAGATCTCCAGGGATCACTGGAGAGGAAGACAGAGGAAGACTGGAACATACCAAGTGACTTTCCTTGAAGGGTTTTCCAGCCATGGATTCGGGCCAGAAAATAACACGGAAAGATTGAATGATCTACTGCTGAGATTTCTAGAGTCACAGAAGTTTATAATTTGGAAGAATGTAACTTAACCTCCTCATTTTGTAAATGAGGAACTGAAGAGAAGATGTGTGTCCATCAAGACATAAGTGATTAGTGGAGTATAAAAGCCCACATAATTTTAGAAGAAGTGGGAAATGGTGATGCAAAGCTTGACCTAAACTAGCAAAAAGAAGGAGATGAGCATTTATTGAATGATTATTTGAACTTGGATACATTCACTTAGTATCTCTGAGCCTCAATTGCAAAATAAAGATTCTAATAGTAGGTAACATTGATATAATATTGACTGTGCTAAAAACTATTCTAAGCACTTTATATGCTAACTCATTTAATCCTTATCACAACTGTATGACAAGGGTACTATTATTTCCTGCATTTTCCACACAGCTGATGTATTTGTTTTCTATTGCTGTTTTACATATCACCACCAGCTTCATGGCTTAAGACGACATATGTTTATTATCTCAGAGTTTTGTGGGTCAGGAAGTCTGGGCACAGCATAACTAGGCCCTCTGCTTAGGGTATATTACAAGATAACAATAGAGGTGTCGACCAGATTAAGGGTCTC